CAATAACACTGTTGAATGAAGACTCAAAGTTCATGAACTTAAGCGTTCGCGCGCAAGATCGAAGGTCATGGGTTCGATTCCCATTGGAAGAGCGGGGATCTGATATGCTCGTCATTTGATATACTTACCCGGTAAACGGAGCCAAGACAAATGAGGCGGTGACACAATAGTCTATTCTAATCCGTTTTTCCTCGGCCCGGCTAACTATATGAAGAAGACTTGATATGGCATTGAACGTGTATTCTACAAGCGATCAGAAAATATGAGGTCAACAAAGCACACAAATCGAGTTTATTTATACAACATGCTAGAAACGTCCTTAGGAGAGCGACAAATATAGCATAATAAAATAATCCATCAACCAGTCACATTGAAGGATTTTCTAAGTGGGAAATGTAATCTCAAGGTCAAGTGATCAACTTATGCGCGGAAACATAAAAAATTCAAAATATAGACTGTTCCCAAGTGAGTTTTGGAGATCTTAGACCTGAGTTAGTAGTGGTAGTATATATAGATATAATATATATATTCATATCGTTTGTGCTATACACTAATTACCTGTAGTCACAGTCTCGTATTGTTAAAAAATTTTCTCTGACCAATAATTTCATTTTATTTAAGCTCTTCATTCACTTCAACCATCTCGTTATCCCAACCGTAGCTGCTATCTTGACGTGGTGCTTGTTAGGCTTGCCTATGGTCATGACCCAACCGAGCTATACTGGCTGGAACATATGTTCCTGTAGGTTCTACCATGCCAGGCAGATAGACTGGAGAACGATGAGACTAAAATCAGATACTCAATGTCTGAGGGAGAAGTCGTACTGCTAACTGACTGTACAGAGGGATGTGACAGCAGTAAGGTGTTTCCCTCGGACAATAAGCAGCATCTGCAGCAATGCTGCCTTCTCACAAAGAAGGAAGGGGTTAGAAAAGGTCGACTCTAAAAATGTCACACCTCACCACCCTACCTCGTGGATTTCTCTCTCCGTCGGTAAGGGTGCCCACTAAGGGCATTAAAAAGAACAGAGATAACACTCAAAAAAACTTTTATAAAAAGGCCGTGCGTGACCGGCCTCAAGCAGTTGTCCCTTGAGCTCTGCAGTCACGCTCTCAGGTCTCTAAGACCAACACTAGTCTACCTTCTTGCTCAGATCCCTCAAGAGACACGCTTCCACGGTGTGGGCAGCCGGGAAGTGACAATCACCCTCCTCCCCGTAAAGTCACACACGAGACCGAATTGGTCAAAATCATATCCTTCCTACACCCCCTATTACCCCTCTTATCTCCACGACTAACTCTACTCCCATCCCCTTATCTCACTGCACCGCTAATGCAAACGATGTGATTTCACGAAACGTCATTTCTGGTATCCTAGAAACCCCGCTCTAGACTACATGTTGAAGCTATCAATAGAACTATCAATGTTATACACTTCAAATGTTGTTTCTTATTGGTATTCCTGACCTAACTGTATAAATACGCATTATCTGTAGCGTTTGATGACCTGGACCCTGATCCATTAGTCAGGGATTCTGATTCTCTTCTGGACTCGAACCTCATACTTTCTGGATGCTTTTTAGAATACACGTTCTACTGCATATCAAGTCTTCTTCTTCTCTTCAATGGGGATTTTGACGCTCGGATTAGAGTAGCCTGTCATGTCGCCGGATCCTCGATCCTTGTTCTCGTTCCCCGACTAACGTAAACTCGTAATAGTTCAAGCATATCAAATTGACTTGGTCACATGCACAATTCGCCCAATCCATAATAAAGCAATCAAAAACAACCATATATGTGTATATAATATCGAATAGATATTTCAATTATAAATTCATTTAAATTAATATTGTACTCTTTTTCATTAAAAATATCCTATTTACAAAATAATAATAATAGTATTAATATTAATAATAATAATAATAATAAGGACTATCAAGTGCGCATTGTAACAAACTAGTGTAAAACAATAAAAAAACGAAACGAAACGAATTGAAAGTAAAGAGAAACACTACACTACAATTGAGTAAGTCAATTTGATCAGTGTGTGATTATTGTGTGTGTGTGTGTGCATTGTACTTGCACCGTTCTTTTCATATAAGAAGCACAACTGTGTGTAAGGTCATGGCCAAATATTCATGTCTGTATGTCAATCACGTTAGTGTGTGTCTATCTTTTTTCGATCTCTTCCTCGTCAAACGTCAATTCATATATGTCTGTCTACCTATCTTCTTACCTTGTCATCTGTTAGTTTACTATTGGTGGTTTATTTTGACAAAAAAAACACACCATTATTTGAAACAACCAATTAGAGAAATAGACCACCATGTCTGTATCAATATGATTATTGATGATAATAATAATAATAATGATAATACTACTAATTAATATCAATTTATAAGTAGTATAATTTGAGAAAAGTCGAAAAAGTTGTTTTTTTTAAATAATGAACGGTTTATCCCGTTTATCTGTTCTGTTTTGTTTAAGTAATTCCCATTTTTTTTCTGCGTAGATTTAATTTATAGTAAGTAACATCTTTGGTAAAATTGAAAAAAAACTGAAACTGTAGAAAATTAAAACAAAACAAATTCTTGTTGAAAAAAAATGGCGGCTAAAAACATTTATAACAGTAATAATAACAACAACAACAGAAAAATAGATTTTTTAAATTAATTTTTTTTTAAAAAAAAGAAAACTGAAAAATATTTTAAATTCTTTTTTTTGTATACTTATTTTTGTGCATTTTTGACTGTAAGTAGTATTGTGAAATCTTTTGAAAAAAACTCCTGAAGTTATATAAGTTTCTACGTTTATTATTTTAAAAAAAGGCGGAGATCATTGAACTCTGATAAACAAAGTCACAAAAAAAAACTGAATTCGCTAATGAGCATCATAGTGGTGAGTTTTTTTCCGAAAAAAACATCGTTCGCAGCTGTGTTTTTCAGCGGAATGAATTCTTAAGGTCTATGCGTGTGTACGAGAGATAGATAGAGCAGTAGACAGAGAGATCATTGAATGTGTTGTCCGAGTTATCGATTTCTTTATTTCATTGTCATTAATTCTGTAGTTTCTAAAGCTGTCAACAACATATTTTTTATAATTAAATCAAATTTTTCAATATTCAATTGAAATATACATTGTGTATAATAATATTTCATCCATGATGATGGTAAATTAAATTGTAAATTAATACATGATAGAATTGTTTCAATGAAATGCATTATTTGTCGTTGACGTAATGGGCAACCTTTTAAAATAGTTTGATAATAGTTTAATACATAATTTTGTGGATGTTGAATTGAATCTGTGAAAGAATGAGTTTAAAAAAAAGACAGAAGAAATAAGATGAAATGTTTGTGTTGGGGTATTCATTAAATATTTTAAGAGAATTATCTTTTTGTAAGTCTAACTCTATTGGTCAATTCCTATCAGTCGTCCTAACTATCAATGTCACATTCTTCAAAGGTTGTTTCCTATTGGTCGTCTTAACTGTCAATGTCACGTACTTCAAAGGTTGTTTCCTATTGGTCATTCTGACCATCAATGTCACGTACTTCAAATGTTGTTTCCTATTTGACCTAACTGTATAAATATGCATTATCTGTAACGTTTTATGATCCGGAAGCTGATCCCTAGTCCGAGATCCTTATTAAGGGATCCTGATTCTCTTCTGAACTTTCTGGATTTTTAAAGAATACATGTTTTACTCAATGGGGTTTTGGGACGTTCGGATTAGAGTAGCTTGTCGTGTCGCCAGATACTCGATCCTCGCTCTCGTTTACTGACTAAAGTAAACTCGTAATAGTTCAAACATATCAAATCAACATGTTGACGTTCATGTGTAACACTGTTATATATTCATAAATAAACCTAAAAAAATTTTAAATTGTTAAATTTTAATGTTTTTAAATTTGGACAGTTGATCAATGATCAATTTTAGAACGAACGAACTGAACAGCCATTTCATCCGTGTATGGTATTCCTCACCAGTACGCCTCTATAGCGCTAAACACGAGAATCGAACCCATGATCTTTGGTCTTACTCTTGGACGTTTAACTCCCTAGGTCACTGAATAATCACCTAACGATGTTAATGTGTAACTGAAACCTTTCATCATCCACCTGTGAAAGACAAATGTCGCATACTAAACAGTCCACTGATCATAACTTCTCAATAGAACTTCTAAAGTTATATGTTGAAGTTATTTATTAGTGAATAAAAGATTGTTATTACTATAGGGGATTTCTGGATATGATAGTATCTTCAATATTGAGTAATAATAATAATATGTGTGGGGTCATGGATGCGCACTTGTGAGGAATCTCATTCCCTGACGAAACAACACTTGGGCGATTCTTGGTTTCTAATAATCGTCTAACTAAGATCAGTTCTTGATTATCACTCCTCCACGACCCCTCCTATTCAAAATAACTATATATATATATATCAACTTGATCGAAGAGAATATGATCACTTAGAAATAATATGAAACTACTCGCTCAGTAGGTGATGTAATGATCACCCTTTTTTTAACATCTCTTAATCGGCATTAATAAGTACACAAAGCACTCAATCACATGCGTGGGGATTAATCAGCATATACTAATGACCAATCAAAACACAAGTATGACACAAATGACCTTGTCAATCAACTCACCAATCAGTGTAATATCTGATGTTGAACTAAATAATATCATCATTTTCAACCAATCAATTTCTTCGTCATTTAATTTTAAAACAATGATTTCAGAAAATAATTGAATAATTGAATTGCATTCTGATAAGTTTGTTAGTAAATCTGAAAAAGGCGCGAAAAGACAATGAGGAAAATTATTAAAACAAAACATGAAAATTTGTTTGATTATATAATGTGTTAGAATGAATATGAAACAAACATTTATCAATAAATGAAAAGATATGTAGAGCAAAAGGATGTCAGATGTAGAAATTGTTAGGATATTCATCAAATATCCTGAAGAAATTATTTTGTGAGTATAATTCTATTGGTCAATAATATTCAAGGTCATCCTAAATTGCCAAATTCATATACTTTTAAATATTGTTTCCTATTGGTTAGTATTCACAGTCGACCAAACTGTATAAATATGCATTGTCTGTAAAGTTTTATTCTCCGCCTCTTCTCCTTCTTCTTTACAAAACCTCATATTTTCTAGGTGCTTGTGGAATACACTTTCTACTCCATATCAAGACATTTTAATACCATTATTGGGGGCTTGGGACGCTCGGATTAAAGTAGCCTATCATGTCATTAGATCGTTGTATTCGCTCTTGTTTACCGACTAAGATGAACTCGTAATTGTTTCAAACGTATCAACCGACGATTATAACAGAAATCCACCAGGCCGCTGCATATGTTTCTGTTACGAATGCACATAAACACCTCATTCTGATATGCCTGAACTTTTACGAGTTTACCTCAGTCAGGAAACGAGATCAAGGATCAGGCTATTCTAATCCGAACGTCCAAAACCCCATTGAATAGAAGAAGACTTTATATGAAGTAGATCCTGTATTCTACAAACATCTAGAAAGTACGAGGTCCGAGTCGAGAAGAGAATTAGGATCCCGGATTAAGGATCCGGATTATAAAACGTCACAGATAATGCATATTTATACAGTTAGGTTGAATAGGAAATAACATTTGAAGTATGTGACATTGATAGTCAGGACGACCAATAGGAATTGACCAATAGAATTAGACTTACAAATAATTCTCTTAGGATATTGGATGAATATCCTACCAGTTTCTTAAAACATAATATAATTAGTCTAGTAAAGAAAGGATTAAGTATTGAGAACATAGTTTAGGGAAAGGGATTTTATTCGTAAAAGGCGAATATAAATTATGAAATCTTATATTTGAATTTAAAATCTCAGAATGCACAGTGTTGAGCTGACAAACTTAGCTACTCAACTATGAATGATTCATAACTATGCCACTTAGTTTTTTTAGTTATTAAAGGAGATAACTCATTAGACTTTAACACATAAGCAATATTAACTATTTTGAATCAATGCCCTAGGTTAAAGTTTGACTGCCTTGACTTCTGTTTTGTAACACAAATCTAAAAACTTTTGTAAGTGGTTATTTGTCATACGTAATATGTGTGCTTTAATTACACTAGTTAACATGGTGTCTAGTGAGTACCCCACATCAGTTAAGGGTTTCAAGGTCAGGCTATCGCCGAGAGACTTGAAGGTCCTTGGTTCATGGTTAAGTGAAGTCATGAAGTGTGTACAAAGACAGTCAATTTCCTTCTATATATATATATAATCTCACTATTGTCTATGATATATTGAGCTAATCAGAAGTAGCCAAATGAGTAGGTCATTTGATGACCATCACAAATGTTCAAAAAGGATATTGATTGACTCTGCGTTAACTTCGAAGTAAGGCTCATCACTCTAGTGATTCACGATTGAACTCTAATTTAAACGTACGATCAGATAAAACTTCCTTTTAATTTACGTAGATCATATTTAGGAGAACTAACTCCGTTTATGTGACGGCGGTAGCAAGAAGTCAAATACAGATTCAGTTGGATGAGTCGATTTGATCCAAGCGTAAAAGCAAAACGAAGCGAAGTGGAGATGGCGAAATGTGAGCACTCTATACGATGAGTTATACAAAATAAGCTAGACATGTAATAATAAGCAAAGTAAGCAATGCACACACACATAGACACGAAAATGAAAACAACCAATGATTGACAAGGTCAAAAGATGGATAAATAATGACTCAAACATCGAATAAAGTTAATTGGTTTGTCCGAAAGCTGGTACAAGTCATGTGACATCAGCATATCAGTACACACACCATAGATGAATGGAAACATGTCATTGGTCAAGAAATGAATTCATATTAAAAGGGGGAGAAGAATATGAATATAAATAAATAATTATTGATTTATACGATTCAATGGTCAATTAGACTTTCGTTTTCAATTTGCATTCTCTGGTAAGTAATCATTTCTAAGGTTAGCGTATATCAATGTTCAATTCTTAAACACTGCACATCTTAACAGTGATTATGTAATCAGTTCATTGTCAGACATAGAACCTAACGTCAGATATCAATTACCACTAATCTATAAATATCCTTCTATTACAGAGTGTATATCATCGTACAGATTATATCAAAAACCAATGATACTATTGTACAGATCAAATCGAGGCATCATTAATAACGGTTCCCAATCTAGAATAGCTTGACTATAAATACTTAGTCATTGCTTCAGCATATGGAGAGTTAACTCACTCGCCTTCTTCAGTTCGCTTCGTCTTTGTTTGTAAGCTTTCCATTCTCAAGTCTGTTTGCTTAAATGAATAAGCATGAAATAAATTAATCCTCAACACCGTATTTTGCTTCTTACTACCGCCGTCGCACGAACAGGATTTGCCTAAGTATGGACAAGAAGATGTATTTCATTGCACACTCGATCATTCGTCTACACTGGAGTCCAGTAGTGAACCACTAAAATGGTCTGAGAACACTCGACGATTACCAATGGATTACCGAGACTTTACGATGTTGAACATAACGCAACGTGAAGAGCTACGTCGATAGAGAAGCCCTCCAACTCAATGTATTAGATGAATGAATCAACATATCAAACTCGATGAACTATGCAGACAGCACAATCTCATATCCATTGTACGTAACGAAGCCAGTTCATATCATATCATTTTATTCTGAATCATTCATCACAGCAATGGCACTATGATTATCGTGTGACAGATACTTACGACCTACTGATTAGCTGCCGGCACCCTGAAACCTGCTAAGTAAATTGGTGGTATGACGAAACACGCATGCACATGAACCGTTAGTTTAAGCAGTCTAGCGAACCTCCTGCATGTTGACAAGAGAATTTTTTTCGACTACCCCAACGCTATCAACGGTTTGCAACGCTATCATAGACATAAGTTCAGAGTCATACACTCATTAGTAGTAACTTATGTTATCAATATGCCACAAATATTCATTTATCACATTTGTACTCAGCAATCATTGTTCTCAATGCATTTTTTCAACAATGATCTCTACCTAAATTTCACATCATATATCTACAGCCACTTGCTTTATCAACGAGCTATGCTTTAATGTCTATAAATTCATTATTAATATTCATCTTATTTGTTCATGCCTGTGTAACTGAATACTACTATCGGCACTCTCGAACATTCCACGATTAATGCAATTTTCATACTGTCAGGATATTCATCCAATATCCTAAGATAATTGTTTGTAAGTCTAATTCTAATGGTCAATTCCTATTGGTCGTCCAAACTATCAATGTCACAGACTTCAATGTTGTGTCTTATTCGACCTAACTGTATAAATACGCATTATCTGTGAAGTTTTATGACCCGGACCCGGATCCCTAGTTAGGGATCCTTATCCTTTTCTGGACTCATACCTCGTACTTTATGGATGTGTTAGTGGGACATAGATGAAATTAAAGCACAACTGCGTTGCTGCGCGCTGATTGGCTAAACTCCTATCCAGTCAGCGCCTGATCGAAGCTTGGAGAACAGGATAGAAAATTCTCGTATTATTAGCTGCATGCTGATTGGTCAAATCCAGTCCGGTCGATCACGTGAATTTTCTTCCAGAAGTTTTCTCATCTAAAGGCTATAAATAGACTCGCATTGTATTTATCTTTGCCTTCTTAGCCTTCAGCCTTCTTCGCCTTCAAGCCTTCTTGCTGTCTTTGCCTTGGCTTTCGCCATCACCTCCAGCTTCTTTTTCCTTGCTATTTTGGAATATAATCCTTCCTGTTCAACCGTGTTTTGATTTGTGTTACTTGTCCAGTGTTTTGTGTCAAGAATACTAAGCAATAAGATTTAGCCGGGAAATATCGTAAGCATCCGTTACAACAGGATGCTTTTAGAATACATGTTCTACTTCAATATCAAGTCTTCTTCTTTTACTCAACATGAGGGTTTGGGACACTCGGATTAGAGTAGCCTGTTGTGTTACCGTCTCCTCGATTCTCGCTCTCGTTTTCGGACTAACCTAAACTCATCATAGTTTAAGCATATCAAAAATGACATGTTTACATGCATGCATAACACATATATCAAAACCAAAAAAAACCAACCTTTTTTTTAAAAAAAAAAATCAAAACTTACCAGTATCTAATTCTTTCATATTACTACTACTACTATTACTCCATAATGTAACTAATGGTTTACATACAAATTCTAACCAAAAATAATGCATTTTATTGAAAATCAATGATTGATTTGTAATGATTTCATCTGTACCGTCATTATTAATATTAGTAGTAATAGTAGTAGTATCGTTCTTTTCAATATTCAATGACATTTTATAAAATTCTAAAAATAACGTTACACCTAATAAATAATCCCATTGTTGACACATTGAATGTACAATAGTGAATTTATCAATAGAACAATGAAAATATTGTTTTAATTTTAAATCTGGCCTGTAATAACATAACCAATGAATTAGCTGAAATAATAATTGACTTGAATAAAATTGAACAATGTTCAATGTTGAATTTGATGATGATGACGATGTTGGTGTTGTTGTTGTGGTGGCTAGTGGTGCTACTGATGGTAGTGTACATGTGGTTAGATTCAACATTGGATTGAATATTGACAAATTAATACCAGCAGTTAATGAAGAAGACATAGTAGAGGAGAATGGTGGAAATGTGAGAAATCCATTCATTATAGGAGTAGTAGTAGTAGGAGGAGGAGGTGGAGGAGGAGTATTGAATTGATCAAACATTGGACATGTAACGTTAGTTGTTCCTATTGTGGTTTTGTTTAAATTATCACTAGTATTATTATTGTTATTATTAACTGTTGATAATGAAAATCCATTTGATAAAGAGATTTGATTTTTTATAGCTTCTGAATATGATGGAGGTAAGGGTTGACATTGTTGATGTTGATGTTGTTGTTGTTGGTGGTGGTGTAAATGATGTTCTATTGTCAATAGTAGTTGAATGAAAGGAGGAAAAAAAAAAGAAGGGGAGAGAAAAAAAATGAAAATTCATTCATTGAAACATTTAAATATATATTCAAAATGGTTGTGAGATTTTAAAAAAAATTGTACTCATCACAACATGGCATAAATAAATTCATGAAGTCATTGACAAATGAACTGAGTCATGTTAGTAGATGTAGACTATTTGGTTAGGGTCAGTCAGTTGCAAAGTAGAACTATGTACGTATGTACATAAGTTCATGTTGCCATACCACATTAGCGTACAGGGACGCAAATGTCAAATCAAATCCCATAGTGATAAAGATAGTAGAGGTATTAATGGTAATGAAGAAGACTAGGGTTTGAAGATATTATTCAAGAAGTATAATTCAGTGAGATAAAGTTAGAAAGACAAAGGTAGGAGTGCTGACGAATCCAGAAGATTAGGATTTCAGAGAGCTCAAAGAATGGATGCACCTGCGCCATCGCAAACGATTTTGAGCTATGTAATTCAAGGTCTCTAACCATCGGTGACTTTCGTCTGGCGGACCCCAACCAGGTAGTTTACATCTACCAACATGACTCAGTCCACTAGTCAGTGACTTTATGGATTTGTGCCATGTTTTGGTCTGGCCGCCACTAACTTTCTTCCAACCTACTCCTAAACTGCAAAACATAGCTCGTCAAGGCAGTCGGTGGTTAGGCATTCGTAACACATGTCCCAACCACCTCAACTGATGAAGTTTCAACACTTCATCTACTGCTCTGCCATCCTTACCTAGTACTCGTTTCCTAATGGCAGCATTGCTTACTCGGTTGTCCCACGATATACGAGCAATGCTTCGGAGACACCTATGATCGAATACTAGAAACCTACGAACAATTTGGTTAGGGTCCACAAGATGATAGTAACCGATGGTTAGAGACTTTGAATGACATGGCTCAGGTGCATTCATTCATTGTGTTTTTTCAAATTCTAACCTTCAGAACTCCTCATCACCTTTATCTTTCTCTTTCTAAAGTTTATTTCACTAGATTATACTTCTTGAATAAGATCTTCACACCCTAATCTTCTCCATTATTGTTAATAATTCAACTATCGCTACCACTATTGGATTTGAACTGACAGTGGCGTCTGTGTGCTAATGCAGTAAGGTAACCTGAACTTATGTTCTCATGTACGAAGTTCTACTTTGTATGAACCTCTTTGTTTATTGCTAATCTGTGTACTCGCACACTTCCCACTTTGTTTGTTACAGTCATTTTAGCTCCACTCTGTCTCTGTAATTTCACTCCTGTTTTTCTGACAAGATTTCAAGTATTCTTTCCATAACACGAAATCACCAGCAAATATATTCACTTCACTTGACCGGATCATTTCAAAGAAATCAAGCATTAGGTGGATTTTTGATCTAAAAAAACAATGATCAGAAAAGTTCTCTAAAGAAATAACTCTTACACTGAGTCACTAAAACATCAAATAAAATTCGAACTTCTTTACTCAGTTACTTACTTACTTACTTACGCCTGTTACCTCTAATAGAGGAGCTTAGGCCGACGAATGTATTCTCCAACCAACTCTGTCCTGGGCTTCCCTTCCCCAATTCTGTCCAATTTTCGTTCATTCTTCTTATGTCTTTCTCTATATCTCAACGTAATGTGTTCCTTGACCTTTCTCTTTTCGTTTGACCTTGAAGGTTCCATGTAAGGGCTTGTCTTGTGACGCAGTTAGGTGATTTTCCTAGTATGTGTACTATTCACTTCCATCGCTTCTTCCTGATTTCCTCCTCCACTGCAACCTGGTTTGTTCTCTCCCACAGTAGGTTGTTGCTGATGGTGCTTGACTAACGGATCTCAAGTACTTTGTGTAGACAACTGTTGATGAATACTTGCATCTTCTGGATGATGGTTTTCAAAGTTCTCCAAGTTTCCCCTCCATATAGTAGAATTGTCTTCACATTTGGTATTGAAAATTCTGATTTCGGTGTTGATTAGTAGTTATTTTGAGTTGCAGATGTTCTTCAGTTATAGGAATGCTTCCCTCATTTCGCCGATCCGCGCCCTCACATCTGCATCAGATCCACTGTGCTCGTCAATTTTGCTGCCCAGATATATGAAGGGGTTAACGTCCTCCAAGGCGTGTCCATATTGTGTTGTATTGCTGAATCTTTCTTTTCGCTTTATGCAGGTTCAGACCTGCTGATGCTAAGGCTGCTGCTACACTGGTCGTCTTCTCTCGCATTTGTTATTGCCTTTACATTTCTCTACTCATTTTTTGACACTACAAATACACCACAATTTTTTAACTACTCATAAGTAGTTTAAATTTTTATATTCAAAAAACAAAAATACACCGCATGAAACCTATTCACTTCACATCATAAAACTACTAACCTTTCTCATAAATAAACTCACATTTCCTTTGCACTATTCCAATCTGATCAACATCATCATTATTTAAAAACCATGCATTATGATATAAATTTTTCAATTGCTCATTTTCATTCAATAACATCATTTGTGGTAAATTAAACAAGGATGAATAATAATATTGGTAATAATAATGTTGAGCATATGACGCTGATGAGGATGATGACGATGATGACGATGCTAGTTGAGGCAAGATTGTAGTTGTCATTGGTGAACTTGATATGGAAGATGTCAACAATGGGATTGTATGATTCGTTATAAGGTTATTATTATCAGTATTGTGTTTCAAGTGAGTAGGATTACTAGCCGTCACGTGATTATCAGTGAGTAGTTGATGTTGATGATGACTGTTGTTTAACCCTCCACCTCCAGCTCCTCCCAACCATGACCATAATAATATTGATTTTTCATAATCCATCGTCTGGGTAGATTTCAACATCGATTGAAAATGTAACAATGATTTGGCATAATCTAAATATTGTTGTTGATGATGATGAGGATGCTGATGAGGTTGAGGTTGCTGTTGGTAGTTATAATCATTGACTTGACAATGGTTTGTATTGGACAATGTCAACAAGTCAGGTAGACATAATTTGGCGAATGCTAATGCTTTATTCCATGTTTCATTCAAATTGAAATTCATATCATTATCTTCATGATCAATATTGATAGTTGAATGCGTTGATAAATTAGACGGTTTCAATGTGTCTGTTGTTGTCGTTGTCAGTGATGATGAGGAGGAGTTACAGGGTATGGTCATTGGTGCTTGTTGACTAAACATTATTGTCACATCACTATCTTGATCGCCGTCATCATTAGCCTCCCCATTATGATCAGGATGATCATGCGTAGGATTGTGATCAGGTAGTGACAGTTTATTGATTAAGTTTGGATTTTCGGATAAATTATTATTATAGTTGTCAATGTTCAATGTTTCAATTTTCATTGGTTGGTTATTGATAGTAGCCGTAGTAGTAGTAGTACTCGTCGTTGTAGTAGTATCAATAAAAGCATTACTCATACTACTTATATTACCATTAGTAGTAGTAGTAATAGTATCCAATGGTGCTGTACATTTAGATAATGTTGATAAATAATTATGATTGAAATTGAATGGATTTGAAAAATTGAACATTGACGGTAGATAATTTAAACAATTTAAATAATTATTATTATTTATATTGATTGTAGAACAAATAGATGATGATGATGATGATGATGAGTTTGATAAATGTTGAATTGTTTCAAAATGATTTCTTTCATTATCAATCTTGGTGACATGGTTAGGATTCAAGCTGGTTGTGAATATTGTCGATGTAACAGTGGGACAACTGCCAACACCAACACCACCACTGGAAGTGGACGATGACGTCGACGATGGCGGCGTTGACAACGACGTTGATGACAGTAAACACGAAGCAGAAGAAGACGATGGAGGAAATGTTAAAGGCAATGATTCATTCATCGTTGTCGGCGTAGTAGATTTTAAACACATCAATGTAGGATTTGTTAAATTGAGAATATTATTCATTGATAAAGGATTTTCTGAATAAAGTTTATTACTGTTACTATTATTATTAATATTATTATCATGAATCATTTTGTTTGTATTCAACGTAGTGCTAAATGTCATATCGAATAAATTGTTGTTATTTGTCTTCTGTCTTAACTGTGATACTGGAAATGGATGAATTTTTTTAGAAAATGTTTGTGGATGCGATGTAGAATGTGACATAGAAGAATATAGATTAGATTGATATGATGTTGTATGAGTTTTATGTAAGATTTGTTGATCGTTGGACATAAATAAGGCAACTTGTCGTCTTAGTGTAGAATTTCTTGGTCCACGTTCATGTTGAACAGCTGAAAATTTAAACAAAAAAAAAGATTAAATTGAATTAATTAGTTAACTAATGAAAAATTATTAGAAATTTACAAACACTGGACGGAATCGAACTCACACGACCTTTGGTCTCAAGGCATGAACGTTTAACCTATAGACAGACTACTGAGGCATTATACAAACAGTGTGATTGTCTAACTTTGATTAATCTAAGGTTTTGTACAACATAGCCCATTGGCTTCTTGTTGGAGAAGTTAGATGACCCAGAACTCACTTGATAAATGTCGTAATTTTGGAGTTTGTTCATAGGCTGATCAACTGACCTTGTGATTACGCTTCCCACTCGGAAAATCCTTGTCTGTTATTGGTTGATGTATTATTTTATTACGCTATTTTGATGGCTCTCCCAAGGACGTTTCTATCATATATAAATAAACTCGATTTGTGTGCTTGTCAACCTCAAATTTTCTGGGTGCTTGTAGAATACATCTATACGCCTTATCAGTCATGTTGGTAGATGTAGACTACCTGGTTGGGGTCCACGAGACGAAAGTCACCAATGGTTAGAGACCTTGAACGACATGGCTCAAAATCGTTTGCAATGGCACAGGTGCATCCATTCGTTGTGTTCTCTCAAATCCTAATCTTCTGGATTCGTCAACACCTCTACTTTTGTCTTTCTAACCTTATCTCACTGAATTATACTTCTTGAATAATATCTTCAAACCCTAGTCTTCTTCATTACCATTAATACCTCTACTATCTCTATTACTGTGGGATTTGATTTGACAATTGCGTCTCTGTGCTAATGTGGAATGGCAACATGAACTTATGTACGTACGTACAAAGTTTTACGTTGCAACTGACTGACTGGCTGACGCGTTATCAAGACTTCTTGCTATAGTTATCAGGTCAGGGGACAATCAGATCAGAATAGCTTATCGTGTCACTGGATCATTTGTCTGCACTCTCGTTTACCGACTAAAGTGAACTAGTAATAGCATTCAAGTATATATTAATTGACGAGTATATCATTTCTGTAGATAACTGCCTTACATCCAACACGGTTGAATTCTACTGGTCATCACTTCTTACTAGAACTACAAGAACTCCGTCACGATGCTAGTCACCACTAGTGAGCTCATCGTATGATATTCATGATTCTTATTCTTAGTTAACCTATGATCCTGGTTTCGATTCCCTTGAGCGAAAGTCATGTACATGTACACTGCTGAACAGCCAGGTAAATCAGCAATCAACAAACACACATCGACATTGACCCAATTTATCAACCAATCAGGAAAATCATAGGCAAACATAGGATCAAGAAACAGATCAAAAGGGGGATACAATCGAAACAAAGGTGCAAACAACGACAGGTTTAAGGTCAACAGCAACCAATCAAGATTGAGGTTATCAGAACAAGCTACAGGTGAAACATAGAGGAGAAATTCGAATACTTCACTTCAGCTATCTGAAGTTTGTGCTGATGATGATGTTGTTCAGCAGGAGAACAACGAAGAAAGCTCCACAACCAAACCACATCCAGCTCAGAGAGAACCAAACACCACCACCTCCACCACAATCATCCACCTGAGCTATAAATCTTCTCCACCATCTCAAAAGTCAGTCCCAGACTACGTCATAACAGCCATCCAGTGTTTTGAAACCATGAATCGATCAATGTTAGACCACCAACTCCGTAATGCAAATTACCTGTGCTCACTAGTGAGTGACTAGCTTGGTGAGGAATCTTCTCCGAGTTCCATTAGTGATGGGAAGTTGTGTGACCAGTGAAGTTCATACCTGTTGGGGTGTAGACAGTAACTACTACCGAAGAGTGTGTATGAGGTTCCGCAACTCAGTGAATTGATCGAAGTTAGACATTAACACCGTTAGATGCCGCCGGTTCAGTGGTCCAGAGGTTAGGCGTTCGCCTACAATACCAAAGGTCCTGAGTTCGAATCCTGAGCGAGGTGCAGGAGTCGTGGATGCGCACTGCCACTGATAAGTAGTCCCATACACTAGGACAAAACGGCCGTCTTTCAGTGCTTCCAGGTTTGTCTAATGGTGTTGCTCTAACATTGATCGATTCATGGTTTCAAAAAAATGTGTAACTAACTTAACAACTCTCACAACCCCTTAATGTTAACATTCAAGATATTAAGAAAAACTTGTCCAGATTCTTAGTAAAGTAACAATAACTTAGTAAAAATATTATAAAACTACTAATCTTCATATATGACAGAAAATAATTTAATTTAAGTTAAAATTACGCAATCTATATACGTATATTTTTTTTGCATGCCTAATCAGCATCTTTTCAGCTTGACAACAGTGAAATAATATTAATTAAATCTCCTCTCTCCACTCTCTCCTCTCTCGCTAATCATTACTTCCCTTAAGCAAGCAGCACCCTCCCCCCACTCCTTCCAATCTTCACATTTTTTGGTATCCAAGTGAATGACGTCATTGCTGATGAAACACATCTGGTGTGTTTCACTTTTTTTAATTATAAAATAAGGTCAAGTTCATTTTTTTCATTGATTCGAACAGATGGAAATCAAACTCAAAATCATTAAAAAAGTATGTTGGCCTTCATTCATATTATCCCACCCACTTCTTCTGATTGCTCATCATAATAATGATACTATTATTAGTAATAGTAGTAGTGGGAGGAGTGTTCTTTTTGTATATGTGTGTGTCTGTCTGTGTATCTCATTCGTTCACATGTGACCAATTCACAGTTGATGAACTTATGAAATCACGTGTTCTAAATTGCATCATCATGACGCAACAACAACACGTACCACACACACACCCCCACTAGACAATCATATTCTCAATTTATCCTAACTGCTGTTAGTGAGGAGGGGTGGGGTAGGGTGAAAGGTTGACTACTGAACAAAGGAGAAACACTTTTTGAATTAAACGAAATATACTACTCATTCAGTAGTAATGATAATTTTGAGCAAGAAATATTAATTTGAAAGGGGGTTTGTGCTCAAGTATATATCTATGTGTGTGAGTGTGTGAGTGTGTATCTATGACCATGTGTCAATATGCACGTGTAAGCTATAATAAGTCATAAAACTTCACTCACACTCTCTCTCTTATGTCATTTTGTCAAAATGCGTCGCGTTTTTTTTCTAATTAAAATTATCTACTACTTAAAATGACAAGTAGCCCTACTAGACTTTGAGAAGAGATATAAGATAGATAGATAATAGAAGTGAATGAGTAAGTTTACACATTGAATTAGTTAGTTGTCACGGTTACTAATAACTACTTGCTGGGTTTTGTTTTTCAACTTTTTTTAAGTGCATGTGTGTGAGAAAAAATTTTATTATTTTTTTCATGTACACACGCAATTTAAATTATTTTTGAAAAGAAAAAATAGTTTGGTCAATCGAATTTAAAAAAGATGACTTTTTTTCCCAGGAGGTAATCAGGTTGTATGCGTCAAGTAGTCATGACAATTGAAAGTTGTGAATAAGTTTCATGTTTTAAACTTTACAAAGTAGTTTTAACTTTGATTTGAGTGTGTGTAAAACGCAATGAACTGCATGATACAAGCTATGTGAAGGAATTCTCGAAGTGCAATGCATTGAGAAGATGTGTGTTATCAGTGGAGTTCAACTGTAATCGGGTGTAGACAAAGTTACCTACAGAAAACAGTGTATGAGGTTAGACGAAATCCTTAGATTAATCAAAGTTAGACATTAACATCGTTGGATACTGGCCAGCTCAATGGTTCAAAGGTTAGGCATTCGCACGTTAAGACCGGAGATTCGATTTTGCATGTGGGGGTCGTAGATGCGCAATGTGCAGTACATCTCGTCTCTTCGTATCAACTAGTAAGCTTGGTCCATTTATTACTTGACATCCCAACCATCATTCATGTATACTTTCAATCCTCCTGACTTCTTGTTTGATTTGACTTTAGATATTCTCGATACGAAAGATGTCACAGACAAAAGGATTGTCTAACTCTATGTAGATCAGTGATATCTTCAGTATGATTATTCTTTCAAAATAACACATTATGTAAGATTTTAAATTTTGCGCACAACAAAACAACAAAAATAAAACATCTTCCTAAAATTGAACATTGAACAAAATATATTTTTTCCCGCGCAAATCACTCTCTATGAATATAATATATATTTTTATATTTCTTTGCATTACGGGGTTGTGAAGATTGTTAAGTTACACATTTTTGAAAGCATGAATCGACGATCAGTGTTAGACCAACACCATAAGACAAACCTGGAAGCACTGAAAGACGGCCGTTTCGTCCTGGTATGGGACTCCTCAGCAGTGCGCATCCACGACTCCTGCACCTCACGCAGGATTCGAACCCAAGAACTTCGGTGTTGTGCGTGAACGCCCTAACCGTTAGACCACTGACCCCGGTATTCAACGGTGTTAATGTCTAACTTCACAACCCCGTAATGCAAATTACCTGTGCTCACTAGTGAGTGACTAGCTTCGTGAGGAATCTTCTCCGAGTTCTAGTGGTGGTAAGTGCATGACCAGTGAAGTTCAACCTGTTCGGGTGTAGACAGTAACTACTACCGATGACTGTGTATGAGGTTGCGCAACTCCGTGAATTGATCGAAGTTAGACATTAACACCGCCAGATACCGGCTCACTGGCCCGATGGTTAGGCGTTCGCCTACAATACCAAAGGTCCTGGGTTCGAATCCTGCGCGAGGTGCAGGAGTCGTGGATGCGCACTGCCACTGATGAGTACTACTCCCATACACCAGGACGTACTGGCCGTCTCTCAGTGCTCCAAAGTTTGTCTAATGATGTTGGACTAACATTGATCGTCGAGTCATGGTTTCAAAAAAAATGTGTAACTAACTTAACAATCTTCACAACAAAACCCGTTAATACAAAAATTTATTGATAGTTATAATTGAATAGTCATTTTAAATTATTATTTTTTATTCTTGAAGGAAAAAAATAATGTACACCATATGTGTGTGGTGTGTGTGTTGGATGAAGGGGTGGG